TGAAATGCTTCTTCTTAAGAACTGAAAGACACAGGCTCATGATATTCTACCAGTACATATGGCTACATGGGATGGAATGCTGTAAAATTTCCTTAAATAAACTACCTTGGCCTAATGTTGGATGTGATATGATGATACACATATTGTGTTGAGGTCAAATGTTAAAATAAGCGCTGGCCGTCATAGGCAGGTAGACAGTTTTGAAAATCTTCTAAAAGTTCATTAAGTGTCATGATATTTGGCCTGAAGCTACAGTACCTGAGACTAGTTTCTTAAAATCTGAAAAGTCCTGATGTCTAGATCCATGAGATGCTTTGGTCTGTTAGAAAAGTGTATCTTTTTCTAGTGTATTGAGTTTGGGTCAAATATCAATTTTGAAAGATGGCAAGGATTAAGTTAAGAAACACTAATATGTGTGTAAAGCACTTTGACAGTCTTCTTGACTTCCAGAAAGACAATTATAATGGTATAAGGCCATAATGTACCTAACGTCACTGTACCCAAATCGGGACACTTTTTAGATAAATATCAATGTTCTTTATACCATACTATTGGTTCCAAAAATACTTGTTCATTTTTCATAAATAGATACCATCCACTTTTCATTTCTATTACAATTTGATATTTTGGTCGCGTGGTTCTATAAAATGAACGCGAAATACCATCGGGGTTACATAGGCCCTTGAACCGGCGTTACTGTAACCTGAAAAGGACACTTCAGGTATTTTGGCGCATATTTGGGGATCAACGATCATTATCGGCAGAAAATATGCATAGTTGAAATATTTTAGAGGGATCTGATTAAATTTCTTCTCCAAACTAGCATTAGTTTTGATAAAATAGACTTTAAAAAATGAATAGCATCGCACGGCACCTAAATAAGGAAAGTTTTGTTTTGGTAATTATTCATACCTTTAAATTGTCCATGTAACGATAATAATAACGATAACCAATAAAGCTTAATACAGTTTAATTTCATGAAAAGTATTATCAAAAGAAAACTATATACATAAAAGTACTTCTTTGCATTGAATGACAGTTTCTCGGGCCGTTTTCCCAAAAGTGTTCCGATTTGGGTACAGTGACGGTATGGTTAAGAGATATAAAATTTCCTGATATAGTTGACCTTCACTTGCTACCAAGATCACAAGGTTCAAAACGTTGTAGGTTACACATCCAAAACATATATCAAAATAAAGTCCAGAGGTGTGCAGTGCAACCAGTGTACTTCAATAAGCAGTCTGAGAAAAAAGAAATTAAAAACATCTTCTTTTGAATAAACAAGAGGCTCATGGTCATGATATTGGTCCAGTAACATGCTGGGGTGAAGGCTATCACGCTTGTTTAAATAGATTACACATGACCTGCTTTCAATGTCACTGGGTTTCAATATGCTAGAAGTCCTTTAATTTTTTCTTAAAAACCTACATGCCTAGGGAAATGATATTTGACTTATATATTAGGCTGCATGGAAGGGTTGTCATCTTTGTTGAATTGGACATTTTCAAGGTCGTCGGTAGGTAATTTCTGAGTAATTAACTGGCCTAGGGTAATGTCATATGACAAGAAGGTAGCTCGGAGGAAAGGATGTTAGCTTTGTTCAAATGCATGTCCTTGACACACTTTCAAGGTACCTAACAGTTTGTTTACCTTCTAAAGAATTGAGAGTCCTAGATTCGTAATAGTTGACGAAGCATGCGAGGATAACACGTTTCAGCTGTGTAGTGTAGTGTATAATTCATATATGGCATTCTGTATCTATTACCAATATTTAAAATTATGTTTGTTACGCTCATCTTTCAAATATAACACAATTTCAGATTTGTTTTCAAAGCAGCAATGAATTACAGGTGAACTATACAGGCCCATTAGAGCACTTGCACATGTACGTATTGTTACACTTTATTATGGACGTTCATCAATATAATTTTCGTATTGGCTCTAGTAGATTCTGTCACTTTCTGTAGGGTGGTAGCAGAATTTTAAAGGAAGAAAGAATGGTCAAACTTAAAACGAATTCTAGAGTCGTTTTTGATAGCCCAGATCGATATTTTCAAAAGCAAATAACTAAAACTTAAGGGGGGGGAATAAAAATCAGAAAGGATAAACTCCTTGGAATTTGCGGACAAGAACTTATAAAGAGAATGAAAGAAACTGAGTGATATCTGATGTTTTCAAACATTTTTTGGATACTGCTGGGTACTCCATCCTTATACAAACTGTATGAAATAGGGCTAAGGGACGCGTGTTCCAGCACGATTTCTCATCCCGACACGATTTCTAACAGACGCATAAAAATTGTTTCTGTATAATGATGAACGTCTGTTAAATCAAGCACAGGAGAAAAAAAAAACAATCAGGATAGAACTAACAATTCCATTTACATTTAATTCTGACGTTTAGATCAGTAGGACGTCGAAAGGCCGCCTACAATTTCAAGTGACTACTCAAAGCGAAACGCCCCTTTCCAATGCAATCTAATTAAAATCAGATCCGAGTTCCCGTTTCTCTACAATACTCTTACGATCAGATTGCTTTCCAATGCTGATGTGCGCTGAATATGCTGTATAGTTGATCGATGGTATATCGGGATTAGTGGAGATTGTTTAAGTGGCAATACATTGTCAATATTCACACACGCGTTGCTGACCCGGACTGGGTCAATCGCTCAATATCAGGTAGCTCTATTGATTCGAGCGTCCGTCTAGAGTTCGGAGGTTCATGGGTTCGAATCCCAGTATGGCCGTGCATTTTCCCTCTCCTGCATCTTCGCTAGTCACAGGTTACGATCCGGCACGATCCGGTCTTCCTACTCTCCGTGAAGAGTACAGTTTGTAGGTAGATCTACCATGAAACGTAACCCTTTGCTACCGATGATGCCTCTCCTGTAACACCCGTCGTTGACTTATTATATCCAGCCATGGCAGGAAGTACATGTACATTATTGTGGGTTTTTTTTTATGTATTCAGAATGTTGGCTCTCATCATATCTAATAATGCCTGCATATACTTGTATCTATCTATACACATTTACTATTTATTTCCGTTAGCCTGGCCAATCATCCCCAGAGCCATCCTCGATATCCAGGGGTTACGCTCACTTTCGCTCTCTACACCTCTGGGATATGTCATAACAAAACTGAAGACACCTGACTAGCTATTTGATTGGTGTTGGGTAAAAAAAACCTGACCAATCCCTGGGCTGATACTTGTCATTTGAAGATTACAAAGGAGCGACGCCCGACTTCAAAGCCTGTCATTTGTTACCGTTACGCGACCGCGAGATTCTTTTAATGTACAGTACATCAACGGATCAAACTTCTCTACTCGTCTCGTCCACAACGTGCTGCACAATGAGCCTCCTTCGATTTTGCTATATGACATAGTCTAGGGGTGTAGACAATCGCAACTTCTCGGCCAATTCCGGCTAGGCGCGGAATCGTACGCCTAGCCGGAATTGGCCGAGAAGTTGCGATTGGGGGTGTAGAGAGCGAAAGTGAGCGTAACCCCTGGATATCGAGGATGCCCCAGAGCTCAACTTCCATGTTGGTCATATCAATTCTTACCACTTCAGCCGAGCCATCGATACAGTATGAATAACCAGGCTATCCGGAATGTACAGTATTGTACCGTCGACGCCACAAGGAAAGTCGACAAATTGTGCAAGGCATGACATCCCGAATAATGAAGCCAGTATATTTTGTAGAAACTGCCTCGATATGTCGAGATAAAAATGTTCAATAAGCAGACAGAATCTCATTGGTATTCATCGATTACACATGATGAGAAGGTTATCACCCGAAACACGAAGATACAGAAAGCCAAACACAGTAAACATCTTAGGACATATCAGTGGTACTATAATGTCAAAAGTGTTCTGAATTATATGTAGAGAATTGTGCTTATTAACCCTTTATAATGTTACAGAACTTCTGACTACAACATAATAAATATATTTTGTGCTTACACTAGTGTTTCATGCAAACCAAGCCATAATAAATTCCAGCTGCAAAGAGTACATCGACAGAGTCAACCATCCTGTGGTCACCAGCAGTACAACGAAAGGAAGCACATGTTTGACAATTGCATAAGCCAAACAAGGCAAACATTTTATTGCAACATTTGACCATGAAAAGAGCTTTAATGTGTCAAAGACATTGAAAACAGAGATACAAAATTTGTGATGAAAAGGAAGTTTGGATGGTCACACTGTGTAAAGGTCTTCTGGGATAAAGTGTCGGAGATAGCCCAGGAGGAATTGCACTGAATGAACTTAAAGGGACAGTATCAGGGGAATAATTGTTAAAACAGCCTTCAGGGGAAAATAAGATGTTATTTATAACCGTAAAGCAAGAATAACGTTTTTTTCAAAGCTACTAAAGTAAAATGAAGATTTGGAGTGTCGCATAGGGAATGCTAAAGACTATACAGTCGATCCTCGTTATCTCGAAGTCGACGGGATCGTTGGGAAACTTCGAGTTATCCGAGTATTCGAGTTAAGCGAGTTCATATGTTTGGCATAAAGCTTGGTAAAGTGTTTGGTCAAATATGAGGCTATCAATACGTTGATTGTCGGAAAAATCAACGACTTATATAAACAGTCGATAAATGACAAAAAGATAACGATATAAAATAAAAATAACAATTTATTCATAATCATATTAATTAATTGATACAAATCAATGTTACAATAAACACACATACAAACAGGAAGAACGTCTACTGTAAAACTTACATGCTGTCTCCGACCTCGCTATGCTTCTTTACACAAATCACTGTATTGGAGCGTACACGTAAATTATGTTTTTAATGAGTACACGCGAAAACAATACACATCGTAAATAAACACATTAAAGCACTAATAAACACATTAACATTTAAGCACCGATAACAAGTCACGGAGCACTAACGACATATAGCTACTACATATTAATCAATACAATTTCAAATGGCGGAAAAAAAATTGTCTATCCACTGTGAACACAGTTTATTCTATAATGTCACTTATTACCATCTCGCGCGGAAACAAAGTCCTGGAAATAATCCTCCATCGTTGACTGTTGTAAGTTTCTGGTCCTGTGGGTAAGATCCTCGAGGATGATTTCATCTGATAGTCGCAGTATTGAGTGGATCTGGGCAGCTTTGTTTGGACGGGTCTCCAGGTATCGAAGAAGGATGCCGCAGGCATTTGAAGCCATATCTGTAGTTGGTGGTGGTACAGGCTCACAGTCATAAGTGGACTCAGTGTCGTTGTCATCGATGTAAATGCCCTTACTCTCAAGAACCTCGTCAACGATGTGTCATCAGTCATGGTGGCGCTGGTCGGTATGTCATCGTCAACTGATGCGTAGTGGCTAAACGGTATTGGTAGGTGCACGTGCAGCAGCTGTGCAAGAGGGATGTCATCCTCATCATCGTCGCTGTTGTCGGCGGCATCAAGTATAGGGGCGGAGGCCGTTGTAAAACCAGCATGGTGGAAACAGTTGCGAATGGTGGTCTCTGTAACACATCGCCAGGCTACTGCTTACAACTTCAGAGCATCGAGTACGGAGATCGCAGCTTCCTGCTGATGGTCTATGGCTTTGACGTGGCGTAGGATGATAAGTTTGCGGTAGTGGACCTTCAAACTCTGGATCACCCCTTGGTCCATTGGCGGGGTCTTACTGGTTGTGCTCGGTGGAAGGAAGATGAGTTTGATGGCCCGTAGATCTTTGATGTTAGGATGAGCTGGACAGTTGTCGATGATCATAGCGATTTGGCGGCGTTTTTTTGTGGAATGTTTTGTCAGCTTTCTGGACCCAGTTGGTGAATATGGTATCGATCTTAATGACGGATTGATTGTCATGGCAGAAATAAACGTCCTAATTGTAACGGGGAACGTTATATAAAAGTCCCCCAGACTCTCCCTATAGTCGCAAATGATCCATAGAATTGAACTTGCAAAACCGTAATTGACTTACACATAAAGTTAAAGCAAACCCTAGACATAGAGTGGGACCGTTGGCATCACCTTGGCGTACACCCATATATTTGTCAATTAATCATAGACCACTGCGGCCATTTTTGAAGACCGATCGGAAAATGAAACATACCATCACATGCCCACCAATGCTCTTCTGAAGTTTCATAATAACCCGGCCTGTAGTTTCTGACTAAAAGTCCAGAAACTGTTTTGCAGAATCAAGGAAGAAAAAAAAGAAAAGAAAGAAACAGCAAAAGAACTTCGTTTGGGAGACTTGATATGTTCGGCAGCAAAAAGGAAAAGTACGAAATTGACGAAGAGGAAAATAGTTAACCAGGACCTCTTATAAACACTCCGAAAAGGATAAGGTGCAACTCGAAACTATACAGGTGACCTGAGGTAGTAACAGTATATAGAGAGGAGAGGCTGCTTGAGGTAGTCACAGTACATAAAGGGGAGAGGTGACTTGAGTGCAGATGTATATAGAGGGGAGAGGCTGCTTGATGTAGTCACAGTACATAAAGGGGAGAGGTGACTTGAGTACAGATGTATCAACAGTACATAGAGGGGAGAGGTGACCTGAGGTAGTCACAGTACAAAGAGGGGGTAGGAGACCCGAGGTAGTCCCAGTACTAAGAGGGAAAAGGCTGCCTGAGGTAGTCACATTACATAGAGGGGAGAGGCTGCCTGAGATATATGAGGTAGTCACAGTACATAGAGGGGAGAGGCTGCCTGAGGTAGTCATAGTACATAGAGGGGAGAGGTGACCTAAGGTAGTCACAGTAAAAAGAGTGGAGAGGTGACCTGAGGTAGCCAGCCACAGTAAATAGAGGGGGGAGATGACCTGAGGTAGTCACAGTACATAGAGGGGAGAGGTGACCTGAGGTAGTCACAGTACATAGAGGGGGAGGTGACCTGAGGTAGTCACAGTACAAAGAGGAGAGAGCTGACCCGAGGTAGCCAGCCACAGTTTATTGACTGGAGAGGCTGCCTGAGATAATCACAGTACATAGATGGGAGAGGTGACCTGAGGTAGTCACAATACAAAGAGGGGAGAGCTGACCTGAGGTAGTCACATTAAATAGAGGGGAGAGGTAACCTGAGGTAGTCACAGTACATAGAGGGGAGAGGTGACCTGAGGTAGTCAGAATACATAGAGGGGAGAGGTGACCTGAGATGTCCACAGTAAAACGAGTGGAGAGGTGACCTGAGGTAGTCACAGTACAAAGAGGGGAGAGGTGACCTGAGGTAGTCACAGTACATAGAGGGGAGAGGTGACCTGAGGTAGTCACAGTACATAGAGAGGAGAGGTGACCTGAGATAGCCACAGTAAAACGAGGGGAAATGTGACATGAGTTGGTCGCATTATATAGAGGGGAGAGGTGACCTGAGGTAGTCACAGTACAAAGAGGGGAGAGGTGACCTGAGGTCTCCACAGTACATAGAGGGGAGAGGTGACCTGAGGTAGTCGCAGTACATAGAGAGGAGAGGTGACCTGAGATAGCCACAGTAAAACGAGGGGAAATGTGACATGAGATGGACGCAGTATATAGAGGGGAGAGGTGACCTGAGGTAGTCACAGTACATAGAGAGGAGAGGTGACCTGAGATAGCCACAGTATAACGAGGGGAAATGTGACATGAGTTAGTCGCAGTATATAGGGGAGAGGTGATCTGAGGTAGTCACAGTTCAAAGAGGGGAGAGGGGACCTGAGGTGGTCACAGTACAAAGAGGGGAGAGGTGACCTGAGGTAGCCACAGTAAAACGAGGGGAAATGTGACATGAGTTAGTTGCAGTATATAGAGGGAACAGTTGACCTGAGGTATCCACAGTACCAAGAGGGGAGAGGTGACCTGAGGTAGTCACAGTACAAAGAGGGGAGAGGGGACCTGAGGTAGTAACAGTATATGGAGGGAACAGTTGACCTGAGGTATCCACAGTACCAAGAGAGGAGAGGGGACCTGAGGTAGTCACAGTACCAAGAGGGGAGAGGCTGCATGAGGTAGTCACAGTACATAGGGGGGAGAGGTGACCCGAGGTAGCCAGTCACAGTATAAAGAGGAGAGAGGTGACCTGATGTGATCACAGTACATAGAGGGGAGAGGCCACAGTAAAACGAGGGGAAATGTGACATGAGTTAGTCGCAGTATATAGAGGGGAGAGGTGACCTGAGTTAGTCACAGTACATAGAGGGGAGATATGGCCTCATGTAGTCACAGGATATTATATGGGAAAGGAAACCTGAAGTAGCTGCATTACATAGAGTGGAAATGTGACCGGAGTTAGATACAGTGCATAGAGGGAACAGGTGACCTGAGGTATCCACAATACATAGAGGGGAGAGGTGACCTGAGGTATCCACAGTACATAGAGGGAACAGGTAACCTGAGGTATCCACAATACATAGAGGGGAGATGTGACCTGAGGTAGCTACAGGACATAGAGGGGAGAGGGGACTTTATATTTCGCGCGGTTGACTACAAGGAATTAGCGCGAAATTGTTTTCTCTTATGGTACCCCGATAGGTGGCGACACCTGTAGGGCATGTGTAGCACGTGCAGCAAGTGTTGCTGGGACCTCAGTTCAGGTCAACGCACTGGTCGGGACGGAGGTATAGAAAATGTTTATTTTTCTGAAAAAATAGTGGTAAATGTCTAGGAGATACATTGTAGATGTGTAGGTTAAAATATACATGACAAATTGTTGTAAAATGTTGTTTGAAATTATTATTAATAATTAAACAGTCACTGGTGCAGGCCGGTGCGTTGTGAACAGCCTAGGGGTGTTTGTTGTTGCCACCTGGGGGG